CCTTACAGAGCACCTCCTCCAACACATATGAACGCGCAATGCACGCGATACAATGAGGGCACGAGATACATTTGTGCGTGCACGAGATGGAAGGCTGACAGACTGTCATATAACCAATCCGTTTAGGCTAAACGGATTGGTTATACTTTTTACAGTATCACGGCTTCCACAGATGACGTTTTTTTATGGATTTTTTGTCAAAGCATTTCAGATATTCATTGCTATCGGGATGTTAAGAGCATTCCATGGAATATAACAAAAAGTGTATCTCGAGCCGGTTTCTGAAACTTACCTACCCCACCTTTAAGCCCTAAATGCAGCTAAATCCCAACCAACAGCTTGCCCAGCAACTAAACTGCACCATGCCAGTTAAACAAGATCAGAGTGAATATCCTGTATCAAATTCTGTCTAATCTATTTCGCTCAGGAAACAAAGGATTTCAAATGAACCACTGTGTCCACTTGCCAGGATGTCCGTTTCATCCAAAATGTGCCAGTCATTATCTTGGATGAGGTTTTTCAGTTTGACAAAAATGCCGCCTGCTTGGCCCTGAAAATGGAGGTTCAGATGGAATCATTTATCAGCGATGTGTTGGGGCTGGTGGAAAGGTCTACTCTGTCGGGGGTAACTGTCAGCTAAGAATGAAATACTGATTCGATGAAGTGCCAATTAAAGCCGCCGTGCCAATTTAAGAAGATAACAGTAACGTTAAATAAATCTAATCTGGTTTTATCACGTTTTACCTGATCTCCAAAAGTTGCTGGTTACTGTTAGCAGATTATTCGTTTAACTTTAAATCCAAATGGTAAATTTTGAATTAAGAAAATGAGACATAACACAACATTTTGGTGGCACGATTACAAAAAACAAAGTTCACAGAGGATTAAGCACAAAGATGGCGTTTTAAAAATAATTTCCTTCCCTACTACATCCATGGAAAAGACAGAGTAATATAGTTTTGATCAAGTTTGTCCCCACTATCCATCCATCACACTCCCTCCCTCTACTATTCGCCCCAGACATTATTTATCCTTCCTCATTTATGAATTTGACAGGAAGGAGTGAGAGGGGAGACAGGGTAAGGGGGGGATCGGTCCCTTTAGATCTCACCCAGATGTATCCTTTAATCCTGTAATTAGCTGCAATTATAGTAACAGAAGCAAGGGATGAAGTGATCATATTGCACTCTGAATGAATTACTAATTTCGGACACATTTCCACTTAATACGTTTTATCTCCTCTCCCAGTTCTCGCTGTGTTCTTCTCATTCTCTTATCTCTCCTCAAGATTATTCACCTCCGCCAATATATTCCCCCCCTTTTCCTGTCATTGTCCTGGGTGTAATTCATCTGTTTTTTATCCTGAAAAGCCAGGGAAACAGAAGGAGAGAAAAACAGAGAACACAAGAGACAACAGAGCAGGATAGCATACAACAAGAGGCCCTTTAGATGTCGCAGATGATGCCTTTAATCCTGTCAATAGCTGCAATTATAGTAATTATCTCTAATAGCAGCGCATTGTGTGGAGGCTCTGATATGTTTAACAGATGCTGAGTCGTGCCGCCTCCGCCCGGGCAGAGAGGGCAGGGAGCTTAGATCCACATTAATGAAACAGACACAAAACAAGGCCAAACTGATGATGGTCCCCAGAGGTTTATTAACTGTGAGGAGTGTTTTTTCAAGCTCTGGGTTCGAGTTCTAATGGATGTCTAAGAGATGGTGCTAAGTGGTCTTTTAGCTGCACAGAAAGAGTCGAGAGACTGGAGATGGATATAGAGAGGGCTTGGGAGAAAATAGAGGCAATTAGATAGAAGATGGGAGAATATGATGTAAAAGAGAGCAGCTATACAGTAATATGAAGAACACACATTTGAAATATGTTCAGTAGAGTTCAGAACCGCTAAATCAAAAGATTCAGATTAAGAATTAATGTAGTCATATGTTGAATAAAATGTCAAACGTTTGTTTTTCCTGGCTTCTCAAATGCAAGATTTTTGCACTTTTTCCAATGTTTTTTACATCATTTTATTTAAAACAATTACGGTGGCCTACAAACCGCCCAAACCACGTTTATTAGGAGAAACGCGCTGCAGTTTCAGAAACACATGAAGAAACATCTTCATCCACTTGAACACACGCAGCATTTAGAAAACATGTATCAACTTGACGTAACTTGAGCAGCTTTTACTTGTTCCGGTTGAGGGATGATAAAGTTAGCCAACTGTCACCAGTATTGGAAACGTACCTCAAATGTAAGTTGTATTGGCTTAAAGACTTATTTGAACAATGTCATCACATGATTCCTCCCGATATTATTGTAAGATCTGTTGTAAGCTAGCTAGCTCTTAAAGCTAACCTAGTCACTACATGTCACTTGTCACTTGTTAGTCGCTTTTATCCAAAGCGACTTATTCAACCGACTTATTCACTACTGTGGGCAATCCCATCAGGAGCCATTTTGGGGTGAAGTGTCTTGCCCAGGGACACAACGACATGCTGACTGCAGTGGGACTCGAACTTGCTATCCCCTGATTCTAAGTTCAGCGCACTATTCCACTGAGCCACAGCCTCCCATAGTAATTTCAAATATACTAAGAAAACACTTAAAATGATGAAACAGACTCTGCCGACAGTGACAGTTGGCCTACTTCATCATTCCTGAACGTCGACAAGCACAAGCACACTGGTCCCAGCTGTGTGTGTCACTTTTTACTGTCCCCGTTTCCATTGTGTTTTAAGCTTCTTCCAGATTTTTTTATTTGCAGCTGTCTTAGTAAACGCTGCGTATGTTACAGTAGGTGAAGATGTTTCTTCATTTGCATGTGTTTTGGCATCATTTTTGCATCACTATTTTTTATTGCAATGCATTTCTCCTTTGTTAAGTGTTTTGGGTCTTTGTAGCACATGCTATTACTACTATATTACTATCGCCTCTGCTGGCCACCGTACAAAAACTTTAGTGATTTCATAATTCAGTATTGACCTATTTGATTGAATTGATGGCCATTGTTAAAGAAAGGAATAATAGACAGATACTAGATGTATTGAGTATTATAAAGATGTTTCAGGTTTTCCAAACTACGCACACTTACTCAAGCACTGATGTCATTTTCTTACACATTTCCACCACACATTCCCAACTTAACACATTCCCCTTCTCAAAACCATGCACACACACATACACACTCAGAAACTTCAGAACACACTTTCTCACTGAGTACTTCACTTAGGTCTCGTACACACATGTTGTATCGCTTGCCAAATCACTTTCTTTCTCACACACTCACTCAAAAACTCAGCAACTTAACCAAGAACACACATGCCTTTTGCTTGGTACTTCACCCTTTTTCAGACACAGACACACACACACACACACACACACACACACACACACACACACACACACACACACACACACACACACACACACACACACACACACACACACACACACACACACCACACACACACACACACACGCACACACGCACACACACACACACACACACACACACACCAGGGTTTCCGCCAGGATTTTTTCTTGCCGGTCAAATGTCCGGAAATAATTTATTTCACCGGACAAATTTGAAACTTACCGGTCATATTTCAATAATAATAATAAGAGTTGTGTAGCAGAGTTTCCGTTAGCAGGTAATCACCGGACTATGAGCAGATATGCTGATGTTTAAAACTCAGTTCATGGGGCTCATTTTTATATTGCTTCAGTTTATAATCGTAACAGAGCGAAAAGTTCAGATCCATTTTTCAATAAATGATTCCCCAAACAACAAACAACATAATTATTACATTCAAACAAACTACTTGTAGTAGATTTAAATTAACTTTGAATAATAACACGGCAGAAACGGATCCTCTCTTTTCCTCTCTCCCTCCCTCTCTCTCCTGACAGCCCGTCTGTATCTCATGCAGCGCACTAAACAGTGGGCGGAGCTTCAGGTGATCATGCAGAGCTGCGTGTCTCCGTCAGACTCCGCAGCTGATCTGATCTCTGATCTCTCTCTCGCGTCTGGTTATACTTCACTCGCGTTTATGTCCATATCGATCAGATCCAGCCCTGCTGATCGGCCTTTATATAGAGCACCGATCAAACTATTAAGAGTGAATATCGGCCGATAATGATCGGCGGCCGATCGATCAGAGCATCCCTAATTATTACCGGACATTTTGACCGGCAGGTTTTGAATTTACCGGTTTTTAATCATTTTACCAGCTAAAAACCCACACACCGCACACGCACGCACACACACACACACACACACACACACACACACACACACACACACACACACACACACCACACACACACACACACACACACACACTAATAGCCCTGCCTGGTCTTGGTGTGAGGTAGCTCCTTGATGTAGTGATATAAGAGGCAGACAGGAGGCAGAGAATGGGTCAATAATTCATTAGATGGAGGGCTCAACTCAACTTCAACCCGAATAAAACATCTACAACCACACCCCCCCCACACACACACACACACACACACCACACACACACACACACACACACACACACACACACACACACACACCACACACACACACACACACATACACACACACACACACACACACACACACACACACACACACACATACACAAAGTCAAAATGGCAATATATCTCTATCTCACTCACTCCCAAACATTGTTTCAAGGACTGTCTGGGGAGAAGTCTTTCTTCCGCTTTCTTTTCTTTTCCAACTCTCCTTTCAAAAGAATGTGCATTCATGAACAGCTGCTCATTTCCAGAGTGTTCATATATGTCCTGCATATAAGTGGATTTTCTACCAATTTCACCTTGCATATGACTAACACATAACTTATGTTTCTGTATTTAGAATTTGCCACAGCCACTCTAATTCTTACACACTGCATATGTAGTTAGCTTTCCAGTATGGGTTCAAACCAATGATCTGTAACATGACCTTGTATGGTGTGCAGTGAGCGTGAGTCGGAACTCTTTGACTGACCTCATACAGTGTGATGACTCCGTTGGTCTCATTGGGAGCTTTCCACTGCATGAAGATCTTCTCTTCGTAGGGCGTGTTCTGCAGGGACTCCATCGGCACTGAGGCAGGCACTGTGGGACAATGACAAAACATTCAAATAAAATGTAACATCAATATTGACTGTCCGTATAACAACACTTATAGTAAAAGAATGATGGGTGACACAATTTGTCTTTGTAGTGTAAAGGCTTGTATCGGTGACTTTATCCTAATAAGGACTACAAATCTTAACGATTCACTCACATCACAATACTCTACTTTTCTACATCAGTTTATCATTTTACAACAATGACTTCCACATGTAATGATGCTAACTTTTCCTGCAACACATCATGAAATACAGCAAGTAAGTTTCTCAATTACTGACGTGTGAAAGAAATCTTGTACCAAAGTGCCATTCTCCTATACGTCAACATTCATAAATATATATATTTTGATACATCAAAGAAGTGTGAAAAAAAAGGAAAGTGCACGGAATCTGAGAAGAAAGGAGTTGTATCACCTAATACTGTGGTTTAGTGTAACAAAAGTTTCAAATATCTAGTAACCTTCTCAATATTGAGTTAGGGAAAATCTAATTTGGGGTTTTCTCCTATAAGGCAGAATAAAACATGCTGCTCATGCCAGACATATCATTTTATCAAGAAGGACGGTCCCAACAATTAAATATGACAGGGTATTCAATGATATTTCTTATATTCTAAAAAGATGAAGTCTCTTTATATATCAGGCTACTCTCTGAAAATGAACTAATGCCCAGAGTATTGCTATTCAGCTTACAAGAAACATGCCTGAGAAACAGATTTAATGTGACATTTAATAGTACCTTTCTCTCTTTGAGCCAACAAGTCCTCCAACTCATACGACCAAATAGGCCAATTGTTTAGGCCCTTATTACGACCAAATATGTCGTTTTCTCAAGCGCTTAAAAATACGTCCTATAATTACGTTTTAAAGTTTTCGCCATCTAGTGCTCCCGCTGAATGCTAACGTTACAGATGGTCGTTTGTTCGATCTCAGTGCTGTATTTGATACTATCGACCATGATATCTTATTGCAAAGACTAGAGCACTTAGTTGGCATACAGGGAACTGCTTTAGGCTGGTTTAGGTCCTATCTATCTGAACGCTCTCAGTTTGTACGTGTCAACGATGAATCTTCCACGCAAACCAAAGTTAGCCATGGAGTGCCACAGGGTTCAGTGCTCGGACCTATTTTGTTCACATTATATATGCTTCCGTTAGGCAATATTATAAGGAATCATTCTGTAAATGTTCATTGTTATGCGGATGATACTCAACTATATTTATCAATCAAGCCTGATGCAATTAATCATCTAAATAAAATTCAAGACTGCCTCAAGGACTTAAAAACGTGGATGACCTTAAACTTTTTGATGTTAAACACGACCAAAACTGAAGTTATTGTACTTGGCCCGAAGAATCTACGAAATAAATTATCTAAAGATATACTAACTATGGATGGCATTAATTTGGCCTCCAGTGAGACTGTAAGGAATCTTGGTGTTATATTTGATCAGGATTTATCCTTTAACGCCCACATAAAATCAATTTCAAGGACCGCCTACTTCCATCTACGTAACATTGCAAAAATCAGGCATATCTTGCTTCAAAACGATGCAGAGAAACTAGTCCATGCATTTGTTACTTCAAGGCTGGATTATTGTAACTCTTTATTATCAGGGTGTACCAAGAAGTCAGTCAAGTCGCTTCAGCTGATTCAAAATGCTGCAGCTCGTGTACTAACCAGAGTTAGGAAAAGGGACCACATTACTCCTGTTCTGGCTGCCTTACACTGGCTCCCTATAGAACACAGGATAGAATTTAAAATTATTCTTCTCGCCTACAAAGCCCTTAATGGGCAGGCGACATCTTACCTTAAAGAACTCATTATACCCTACTGCGTACCCTACTGCGTTCCAAGAATGCAGGGTTGTTGGTTGTTCCTAGAGTCTCTAAAAGTACAATGGGAGCCAGAGCCTTTTCTTATCAAGCTCCACATTTGTGGAATCAGCTTCCAGTTTGTGTTCGGGCGGCAGACAGCCTATCCGTTTTTAAGAGTGCGCTTAAGACCTTCCTTTTTGATAAAGCTTATAGTTAGGGCTGATTAGATTCAGCCCCTAGTTTTGCTGATATAGGCTTAGTTTGTCGGGGGACATCTTACTTCTTCCTTCTCTCTGTCTATACCTGTGTACTCTCATGTTCCGATTAACCCAGCTTCCCCAAATGTCTTTCTTTTTGGTGTCTATATACGCCGGGATCCGGAGTCATGGATGATCCTGCGGTCCTGTGTCCTGGATCGCGAGCCCTGGATCTTGAGTCGTGGCTATGGTCCTGGATCATAGGTCCTGGATGGATATCCTCGTGGATTCATCTTCCTATTATACACACTTGCATGTCCAAACATTTGGACTACCTATGTTGCAAATGTATTATCTTTTCAATTTACACAGGCATCTATTGCACGTCTGTCCGTCCTGGGAGAGGGATCCCTCCTCTGTTGCTCTCCCTGAGGTTTCTCCCATTTTTCCCTTTAAACTGTGGGTTTTCTCCGGAGGTTTTTCCTTGTACCCTCTGTCAAAGGACAGAGGGTATTGTCATACTGATATTCTGTACAAACTGTGAAGTCCACTGAGACAAATGTAACATTTCTGATATTGGGCTATATAAATAAACATTGATTGATTGATTGATTTATTCACAAATAACCCTCTCTGTAAAATCCTAAATTGTAGGATAGTTTGGCCATTAAAACACTTTTTGATTAGATTTCTAGCGAGAAGTGTATATTGTACTTTTAGAATCCACGTCCAGTCGATATATAGGATCTATAGTTTGATATATATTACGAAGATGATTTGAGGTATGCGGCAGCCTCCATGTAAAGTTACGGGTTGAAAACAGTATTTCCGGTCTCTACGTTTTCATAATAAAACCAATGATCAAATTATTTAACAGTGATATCGGGATATGGTGTTCATATGATATGAAATCGGAAAAACTTTTTTTTTTAAATAAAATAATACTTTATTCCGAGTGTTCTTGCTTTTCTCTTTGGAAGTCATCACATAACGGCATTGTAATACACGGTTCGGCTGCATTAAATATTACATATCTGCCGTAGATATTTATTTATAGAGCCCTGATCAGAAGACCTTTTGACAAACTGGAAGAGATGCCGCCAAAACTGAATACGTGACGTGGATCATAAATATATTAGCAATTAAACAACATCTTCCATTTATTTTCACACAATACGTCTCCTTGCAGTATCAACACTAATTCGGCTGACTTTTATATTTGATCCAATTGGTAGATAGGCTATATTTACACCATAACGGTGCACAGCTGATAGAAAGGGATTTTTTTGTAGTTTTTAAAGATATTATTTGCTACCTTTCCAACTCCTCATGCAGTTGACTGTTACAGGTCTATACAGGTTCATGGTACAATGCATAAGCTTCACATCGAGAGACTGAAACTGTATTTCCCTTTACCGTTCTGTTTTAATTTCACAATAAAGTGAATAGTCATATTATGTTTGATATTATTATGTTTTATTAACTAGACCACTGGTTTTTTAAACCGCACCTCCTAGTGGTTAAAGCACGTTATTGAATGTAGTTGTTGAATAAGTTATATTTGATGAAAACATTTCAATATTAAGAGTAGCCTACATACAAAATAGGGGTCAATGATAGAAATATAGAATATCAAATATCAAGAAGATACTGTAGTGATCTCTACAATAAAACAGTTTAGTGCAGGACGTCCAAAGATATTAACAGGAGGATGAGCAAAACAGACAAACTGATAAGGCTGAATTTAAACATTAAACAATACTTTAAGTTAAGGTCTTCTTTTGAATAAGAAAAAAACGTTGGGGTTACCCACAGATAAATATGAAGTCTGACAAAGTACTTAACGTCCAATATATTGCATAGTTTATTTTGGCACTTGACAATCACCTTCCCTGAATTTGACTCAGGTGTATCTAAAGTCTGATTTAAGGGTTGTTTATATTTCACATCATTAATCAGAATCTGCAAAGTAACTAAAAATACATGTAGTGGAGTAAAAATACCAGGTTGACCTCTGAATTGTAGTGGAGTAGAAAAAAGTAGTATGCTGCTGTAACAAAAACATTTCCCAACTTGGGATCAATAAAGTATATCTTATCTTATCTTATCTTAAGATGATCGATGGCTACTGCCATATTTGCAAAATGTGCCTCTGAACCTTGACAAGTGCATGTTTCAGGCTTATCAATGAACAACAGGAGGGGTCACAGACATAAGACCAGCTGTTGAATAAAGCTCTTCTGACCTTAGGTGTCATGTGGGTATATTAATTCACCCATTTATTAATTATATGTTTTAAATTTGATAACACCACTGTGTTTCGTATCCCCTAAACCTCCAGGGTGTACACAGTTTAATATCTTATAAAGAGACGTGCCATAGAACATGTTGCGAAACACACAATAGCCAGCATGTGTATAGCCAACAATTCCAGTTTTGGAAAGTCTGCCGTGGTTCCATTCCATTTCAAAGAGCTGTTGACGCTCAGCGTAACCTTGTCGCACTCCAACATCCAATCACAGGGCTTGATGACTAATCACAGGGTTTGTAAAGCAAGGCGGATGTTGTAGTCCCAAACGATAGCTGGGGATTCTGGGTAGTGTAGTGTCTTCGGAAACTGTAGTGTCTAAATTCTGAAAAAACTATTTGTTTCTCTGAATTGAAGGTTAAAAACACAAAAGCATTGTACACAATTTAAACCAATCAATATTGTGTAATTAACAAGGATAAACTGGTGTTTTTTAGTGGATGAGTAATGCAGATATCACTGTGTAATCATTTGACAGGGAGGGGAATATATCCGGTTTTATTATGAAAACTTCGAGACCGGAAAAACTGTTTTCACCCACGCTAACTTTACATGGAAGCTGCATACACGTTATCCTGGCGAGACCTCAAATCATCTTCGTAATATCTATCAAACTATAGATCCTACACATCGACTGGACGTGGATTCTAAGAGTACAATAT